TGTATAAGCTTAAGTGTTCACATTACAAATGAGAAGCAAGGATATTGGAAAATCAATTATAAAATTTTTCTATTTTGGAAAAAATTTTCAAAATGGAAAGTTTCCTATTTTAGAAATTGGTTTCCTAATTTGGAAGTTAGTTTCAAATTTAGAAATAAAGAACACGAAAGGAAAGGAGTTTCCTAATTTAGGTTAAAGGGTATTTTGAAAAATTATTTCCTAATGTAGAACCTACCAAAATAATCTAAGAATATTTATTTGGATAGTCCAAATAAATTAATTAGGCTAAAATAGTTTTAGCCCATTAGATTTAATTAAAAAGCTTAAAGATAATTTTGATGGGAGGATAAACATCAACCTTATTGGATAAGAATTAACATTTTAAAGATAAGCATTAACCTTATTGTATAAGGTTGAATGTTTTAAAAGATAATAATCAAGTAGTCCACATATAAAATAACTCTTCATCTTAGGAGGATAAGGAAGCAACAACCTATAGTCCTTTATAGACTTATAATCGCTCCTTTCCTTGTCCTTGGAGGACAAGGAAACTCTCCCCTATAAATCGGAGGAGAGTTGCAGCATAAAGTAGGGTAATGATCGAGTCATAGAGTATTTTTGGCCAAATTAAAAAAGGAAAAGAGAAATTCGGCCAAAAAAAAGGGTGGAAAATTTCAGCTAGCCCTAAGAATCACCTAGGGCACACGGCCAAGTAAGAAAAAAAGAGAAAATAGTTTTCTCCTAAACCCTAGCAAGAAATACTCTTTCCTCCTTTAAGGTTGTCGCAAAGTTGTCCGGGATTGATTTCTACGGGAAAAACTTAATCAAAAAAGGTGGAGCTAGCACCCTATTAATTTTGAGTGCTTCTTAGTGGATACTTGGGCTACGTGGATCATAAATAGAGGCCGGACACTTGGACGGCTAATCAAAGAAAAGGAATTTAGATCTGCGCTACAAGAGGTAATCATTTACTTTAGCTTATTATTCATTTATGTATGATTAGTAGATTCAACAACATGATCTTAGGGCCTTAGATGGAGAAAAAAAATTATTTATTCCATACCTCCATAAGATGCATGATCCTTCAAGTTAGTCATGAGAGGAATGTTGTATGGTTGCCTTTTTAGGGGCCAAAAAGCCCAAAAGATATTGTTTGCGATTGTTGAAAAATGGACTATTATAGAGGAGTTATTGTCTCGTAGATGCTAGAAATTACTACGGCTAGAGAAAGTACTTTTGATCGCTTTCTACGGCTAGAAAGAGTTGTTGTTATAGCTGTGAGTTAGAGAAAAATGTCAAGAGCTAGAGGAAGCTATTGCTACTACCATCGTAAGCTAGAGAGGCCGGACAACTACTAAATGTAGGTCCGGATAAGAGAGACTACCGTAGCTAAGAGTAGGAGGTCGGAAGAAGGATTCTTGGTTGAGAGATAAAGGCCGACGAAGGTCCGAAAATGTTGGTTATTGCTAAAGACTAGTAGTAGTATCAATAGCCATGAGAGAGGGAGGCAAGCAAGACTCTCTTTGTGAATCTCCTTAGGGTTTTGGTCGGTGACTACAAGAGTTGTTTTTGAACTTGTGGAAAATGGTTAAAAGGTTTTTCTCTTAATTGTGGTTGTGTTTTGGAGAGGATTTCTTGTTTGTGGTCGATAACTTAGAAAGGATTTCTTGAGCTTGTGGTCGGCGATTAGAATGAGTTTCTTAGGTTTATGGTTGTGTCTTAGGTGATGGATGAAGGAGATAATAGTGAGTTTTGAGCTTTAGAAAGATGATGGCTATGGAGGCTTGAGGGTTTTTAAGAGAAAGTGTTTCTTTCTCTAAGTTTATTCTTACAAAAGAAAAATGAGTGGTACCTTTCTAAGTGAGAGAGAAATAGAGCTTTTATAGTGTTGGTTGTTAGGGTTTTCGGGAAAACCCTAACTTGGCCTTTTCTTTTTCTTTTTCTTTTTTCTTCAATTTCTCATCTCATCCCCTCATTTTCTTCTCAAACTCATTTTCAATTGGAACTCTTTTCAATTAAAACCCTAATTAATTTTTTTTAGTTCCAAATTTTCATATATTTTTAAATTAGATCTCAAATACTGATTTTTTTTATTTATTTCACTCTTTTTTTCTCTTCTTTTTTTTTCTATTTTGCATTTTTTAAACTAAAAAAAAAATCATTGGATTTCCAAAAATCCCAACCCAAAGGTAAAAATTTACAAAAATAAATTAAACTAAACAAAGCATATTTAATTTTGATATTTTTAATTTCTTAAGAAAAATTTGTGAAACAAAATGGGTCAAACATTGAGTGATAACAACAAATTTTTATCATATTATGCTCATGGCGTTTTCTATTTACCAAAAATAATTTTTTTAGTACTCTTTGTTAGTCAAAAATTACTTTTTGAATATTTATTGGTTGGTGAATAATTAGTGTAAATTTCATTTGGCCTTTTAATGCTTTTTGTTTATGTCTTGTATGATTTTTTATTGAAATTAGATTAACTATACTTGATTGATCAAAATATTGGACAAACTTTATAGATACTCTAGCATTTATAGAAAGGAAGCCATTCAATCTCATGCAATTGGTTAAATTGTTTATCAATATTGATCAAGAGATAAAGAGATTTGATGTCTATGGTAGTAGTTTATTCAAAATTCAATCACTCGCTAGTTTGCTCATATTTCAAACCATGTTATTTTTTAGTGGTCATTATAATTCCATGATACCTTAAACAAGTTATTATTGTTGTTGTTGTTGTTGTTGTAATATCATGACCAAAGGTAAATTTTAAGTTCTTTTAGCTATCTACATAAATTTTACATTACGCCATTTAATCCAAATATATATGGTTCAATCAAGATTAAAGCTAGAAAAACAAAAAATATATACACCTCACAAATTATTCAATTATAAGAGAAAGGGGATCTTCTAATAAACTTCCTCTTATTTGACAAAATCTTAATCAAGTGAATTGTCATCATACAATTATTTATTTATTCATTTTAAACATGAAATTGATATTTTAACTAATGTCGGCCTATAATTAGAAAAATTAAGTCATGTCGAGTCATTACTCAAGAAGTTAAAGATTCAACTTTTATGAATTAATATAGTTTATTTTAAACATAATAGTTGCATTGATTAATCCTCTAGACGATTTTATATATAATTGCAAATAATTGCAAGAGATGATTTTATATATAAAGAAAAAGCTGTAATTTTCGTGCCTAATTTTTTATCATTTTTTTTTAATTTCGAGTGCCCAATCGATAAATTCTTCTATTCTAATGCTTAAGTTTTGATTATTATTTCTTTTTATGTTTAAGTGTTCATAATCGCATGAAAATATAAAATACTAACGTGTCTAGAATGAACTATCATGTGATATTTTTTAGTCGTTACGTGGTAGTTTTAAGCGATAAGTGATCATTCATCCTAGATACATTAGTATTTCATATTCTTAAGTGATTATGAGCACTAAAAAAAAAAAAAAAAACTAGACACTAAAATTGCAATTCTTTCATTTATAAATAATATTAGAAAATAATTACGTATAATGGTATACATAATTAAACTTAAGATGAAGACAAAGCATTCATGATAATTTTTCTTTGAAAATAACGTTTCTAGTGATTGCTTAAGCTTGGACTTGATTTCTTTAGGTTTTTTTTTTTTTTTTTTTTTTTTTTTTTTTTTTTTGCATAAAAGCTAAAATGCCCGACCAAAGTAAATAAAACCTGAATAAAAAAAATAATAAAAAAATTGAGGATTTTGAATGAAACGTTGAGAAAAATAACAAAATAACACATTATATTTTCAGAAAATTTTATCATCTTTTTTTTAGTACCACAAATAAAACGAAAATGAAATAATTCATTGTAGAGTGACAAAATCACAACACTATAAAACTATTTCTTAAAAATAAATTAAAAATATGTTTTTCAACTACGTTTAAATTGAAAAATAAATCTCTTAATTTTTTTCTATTTTCCCTAAGCTTGTGAACATAGTGAATATTAACCAATTGCCTACTGAAGACCTAGAAGGCAGGCTTCAAGCTACCAAGTGAGCGTTTCGTATAGAGAGTAGTGGTAGCAGTAACAGCCTAACCTTTTTGAGCTATGAAAGATATGTAAAAATATTCATTAAATGCGTCGTTAAAAGTACATCTGTATTAATATATTTAAAATTATAAGGTAAATGGTATAAAAATGATGTAACATGCGTTCTACATCAAAAAGCCACCACCACCAATTGAGATTCACTAACTTCTGACTTTTTTAACGCAAAAAACATTGTAAAAAACCACTACCATCAGCGGAGCTTCACACACACTTTACTTTTACTTTTAAGGTTCATGATTTTGAAAAACTTAAAAAAGTGTGTAGTGCTTGATATATACGTTGGATAAAACAAAAAAAAAAAAAATTGTTTTAATTTGTAGAACAGATTAATCCAATAGCATTAACCAAAAAAAATTAGTTTTTTATATTGCTCATTATCTATTTATCACTCATTTTATCTTTTAATTTGATTGACTAAACTTTAACCAAATTTATCTAAATTTTATTAAAAAAAAAAAATTACATGCCAGAGCTTTATTGTAAAAATGTTTCTGATTCACAAACTAATTGTATATACCATAAAATTAGAGGATAAAAAACTTACAAGGACCAAAATGTTATTAAAATAAAATAGACTGAAATGAATTGTTGAAAAAAGGTTAAGGAACAAAATGACCTTTTTTAAGAACTTCATCATGCACTTAACCAACTATTGATAAAAGAAATCACCAAAAAATTGCTATAAAATCGGAAGTAGACCTGTACCAACTATAAAAAGGATACTGGATATCAATGTCCAGGCAAATTATCTTCCTGACTCTGGTATCAACTCGAAAGAAGTCTAAATCTTTTGCAGTTATCAACAACGGACAGCTATGGGGGCAAGGAAAAACCCGTGTAAGCGTTGCAAGTTGCAAGTTCCAAGCTCCAAAATTGTATACAAACATAATAAGGTTCCACAAGCTTAACTAAATCTTCCCCTTCCCCTTCCCTTTCCCCTTCCCCTCCCCTTTCCCCTTCCTCTCCCTCTCCCCCTTCCTCTTCCTCTTCCTCCATCATGTTCTATTTCATGAACCCTATTGCCATCTCTTTCATAATTAAACATGCTCATTCTAATGTCATCCTCCACGGTGTTATGTGTTCTCCTATTTACCTGTAACAACAACAGATTGAAGGATATAAGGACCAAAACGATAGCAGAAAGCAGAAACACTAAAAAGAGGAAAGGATACTAACATGAAAATCTTCCACATCAAGTTGGTTCTGAAGCCGCCAAGCAAGATCCTCATCATGACTAGTAGCTGGAAGCTCCTTCTTTGTCAGAGGCTGTGGCCCTGCATTCCTCTTTTCCCACTCCCCCAGAGTGAAAACTTGTGATTCTTCTTGTTTACTCTTCCCCCTATATTTCCGACCTTTTAAATGCTGATCGCCTTCATTAGGGTGGTGATTCATTTTCAGGAGTAACTTTTGAGCAGCTGCTTGGTTTTGAACAGGAGCTGATTCAAATACTGCCAAAAATATATATGTTAAATGTTAATACAACAGCCAAATAATAGAAACAGAGGAACTTGAAAGGAATGAACAATTCAGAAGAGCTATATCATGTCTGCTTCCATAAATCATGATGCATCTATCTCTCTTCCATTTTTATTATTATTTTTTTTTTCACTAACAATCATTTAGTTTAAATTATCACCTTTCTCCTTCAAGTAATCACCAAAACATTATCCCTCAAGTTGCACTCACACAAAATTGAGGATTAGTACTTCTCTCTCTCACTAGAAAACTATTATCCATTCATGTAGGCCGTCATAAAACAACATGAATAAAGTTGAAAATGCAATAAAAGTGAACTCGCACCTCCCTTCTGTCTTGCAGTAGTGTCACTTGGCTTCTGTTCAAGACTTTCATTGAAGGAAACTATTCTCTCCTTATCATCATCTACTTTCTGCCGTGTATCCATTGGCCTCAGTTCAGTATTTCCAGAAGTTTGCGCAACAGTAGGCATATTGCTCTTGGAGGTAGACCCATGGTAATCTGCAAGTAATTCCAATTAGTTAACGAGAAAATGGAATTGTAATATACAGTCTAATAAACCATCTATAGCAGATCGTAACTCTTTTTCTTTCTGGTTTTTTTAATTAAAAAACAAATACCTCTGCCTCATCTAGTTTGCAAATAAAATACATGCAATTTCACCTGATCAGAGGTCTATACCTACATGCTAAATGACACAAATTTGGTCGCCTCTCTTTCATTGTGATTATAAAGACAAAATCCCATGGTGTCCACTTGTACAAAAATAAAGTTTCTAGTTCTTTTTCCTCTCTTCTATTACCATACATATTCAAATGTAGTGAAGGGTAATTCTCTATCATTTCAAAACGAAATTGCACTATACAATATCTGGTACTCCATAACATTATTGCACAATGTAGGTAAACTTGCAAAGAAAAAGGAAATAAGCAAGCACCTTCCTTTGACCTCCATTGAGAGTTTCTTGGATTTTCTTTGTGACTTGCTTTGAGGGAAGCTATTTTCACTTTGTAATCAATGCTATCTGCTTTTCTCTGAGCATCAAGAGGTATAACTTCAGTGTTTCCACTACTTTCTGTGGTAACTTGCCTGGAGGTAGACTCAAAGTAATCTGAAAATCATTGCCTTCTATTAATAAGAAATTGAAAAGTAACATAAAATTATAGAATAAAGAACCACAGAGGTAATTACAAAAATGTTTGTCCTATCAAGTAGGATCTGCAGACTGACCATCTAGATACAATACAAACCTTTAGTGTGAGCAGAAAATCTACTTTCAAGACTTAAACCCATGCTTGCACTTGACACTGAAGCCTACTTAACATGCACATGCACATGGCTAAGCAGGACAGAGCAAGCAAAAGAAAAAAAAAAAAAAAGAGTATGTAAGGCACAATTACAATTATGAACAGGCGAGTTTATTTTTAAAACAGACAGATTACTCTATCCCTTCAGCGAGACTATAATTTTCTTGTTTTCACTTCTTTTCAAAATTCCCGGTTGAAATATTTTTTAGTTCAAACTGCATTGTATAGTTCCTTTGCATTCTGCATCATCAATGCATCTTCTCATCTAGAAATTCTCGATTGAAATATTTTTTAAATACAAACTGTTTTGTGTAGTTCCTTTCCATTCTGCATCATCAATGCATCTTCTCATCTAGAAATTGTTTACATTGCCATAATATATATATATACAAGGCATTAAAAGCTATTATTCCTATCAATATATGAAAAGGGTAGAGTTAAACTTCTGTGAAAGTAATAAAAGATGATACAACAACTTGACCATTATGTTTATGAAGGTTCCTATCCCCACTCTCAAAAACAAGATGGGGCATGTTGCAAAACCAGAACACAAGGACGTTATCAAAATCAGAAACAGCAGAAAACATATTGGTTTCTTTTAAATGCAAGCAGGATTAGTCCAACTAGTTTTCAAACGGGCAAATGTTAACTCTAGGAAGTTCTTTAATGTAGCAAGCAAGATTAGTACAACTAGTTTTCAGGTTCAAATTCTAAATGCCTCAGTAAGGTAGAACTTGGGAACTTTCATGGTTCAACATGATTATAAATTTTGGTTTCTGTTTAATGCAACTTATCAGATTCAATCAAAGAAAGGAAAATAAGTTCAAATTGAGTTGTAGAAGAAAATGCAATCCTCTATGTCCCCCTACAATAATTTACACCAAACTAGAGGCCCCAGAACATCCGAGCACGATAGTTGACTTACAAAGTTTTGAAATTTTAACCTAGGAAGTCATCAACTAGCATAACTAAGAGAGCTAATAACAAGTGAGAGTCCTTTAAAAACAACCAATTATCTCCTCTATCAAGGCAGGAATAAATAAAATCATGAGAGATTCTCGATCTCTATTGAAATAATTTTGAGAAAATAGATGAGGGCACCATTTGATTATCTTCTTTTCCCATGGAAAAAGTATTTCATCATAACAAAATTGATTACTTCAACTGACTTAACCACTATGATCATAGTAAATGCTAAAAGTTCCAGAATTTTCTAACTAAAAACAAAAGTTACGGTCCTAGTAGGTGTTTCATTTCGCACCCTACATGCTACCCAAATGTCCCAACCCTGTGGTTTTTGGCCCTTCACAGCGCTGGGACAAAATCATAACGCCGGAACACATAAATGCTATAGTAGCATCTTACTACTGTCAAACGCTGCATATAATATAACTTTTTAGAAGCTTCAGAACACTAACCCGAAAGTCTGCCTAGTTGAGGAGAGCGACGAGAGGGTGCTCCAGCTTTCAACTTCTCGAACAAAGGAGGACCACCAGTATCAGTTTCCTGTGATAGCCTTAATGATAAACGTGAGACGCCTGAGTATTTTCGGTTCATTTCCCATTCATCATAAAGTGATTGAACAATACCTCCTAGTACAGTTATAACTTTAGGATTTAAACATACAATACAACTATGTACTGGAGCTTTATTTTCCAACCGAACCTGCAAAAAGCATTGGAAAAAAATTTGAACAAATTAAAAAAAAAAAAAAAGAAGTAAAAATTGGTAGATGAAATGGATACCTTAGAACCAGGAACAATATCATTAGGAATTGAAGGAATATGAGAATATTCTATCGCAGTTATCTCGTTGCACCCATCAGTGAGACTGAGTTTTAACAGTCGCCGGTTACTTGAATTCGAAAAGCCATCTATGCTACTCACAGAAATGTCTCTCACTGAAGATATCTGTTACATATATATATATATAGAGAGAGAGAGAGAGAGAGAGAGAGAGATTAAGAAACATAATTTGAAATTTGATAAAATCAAAGCAGGGAATGGAAATAAATAAATTAACCTGAAGGATTTTGGGGCCGTGAAGATAGGGGGTTTTGTTGAGGAGGTTTGGGTCGGGTAAGGACTTGGCTCCGATGGATCTAAGGTCCATGTTGAGGAGCTCGGACTCGAGTGAATTTGCGACGGTACATGGATCGCCGTCATCGGATAAAGCAGAGTGAATAAAGATCAGGGCGTTTAATTGATCGATGTCGCCAAGAGACCAGCCTCTGGTTCTTAGGGTTTCTAACACTGTCTCTGCAACGTTATTCGAGCTCTCTCCCGGACCCAGTCCCAGTCCCTCCATTGTTAGCGCCTTTGCCTTTATTTTGCGTATTGAGTGTGGTTAAGTTTGGTTTTGTTGCAATTCTTGCTGGCATTTAGATTTTTTTATTATTATTATTCGAGTATTTATACATCGGGCCTTGGGCCAACGAGCACCATATATTAAAAATAAATAAATAAATAAATAGATGAACGGAAAGTTTTTCTATTTATTTACTATAGCTTATAACCTATCAATATTATTCATTAAAGTCCTGTTTGTGTAATTTTTTGCTTTTTTGTTGGATAGCTATGTACAAATTATACAATATTTTGTGTTTCGATCCCTAATTTTTTTGAAAGTTTATAATGATGGTTTCAAATCAATATTTTTTTTTACGGAACGAGTTTATTTAGGTTATTTAGACCGATGAAACATCATTAGATTTTTTTTATCTTTGAAAAATGAATTTGTCAATGGTAGTTTCAAATAATGATTTGGACGAGGTAGATCGAGCCAAAAAAATTTTTGATTTGATTATGCTTTTTTTAATGTGAATTAAAATGATTTTTATAGTTTTAAAAGTATTTATTGATTTTATTTCGATCATTTAGAGTTGTTTGAGGAAAAAAACTAATGTCGGGAATTGAGTTTCTTAAGGTGTGAAACTTGACTCATGATTTTTCGACAAAGCTTCCAAGCAAGCTAGAGTTCATCAAAAGTTGTAGGATATATATATATATATATATATATATATATATATATATATATATATATATGTGACGGCGGCCCGGAGCCTCATAAAGTAGGCCCAAGCACTCTTAACTCACGAGGTCGGCATGGCCAAATAGGCTTGACCAACCGAGCCCAATCGAGTTGAGTCGAGGCTAGCGCCGGGCTTGCACAAGCAATCCAAGTGCGCAAGCCCGGCCTTTTTCTTTTCTTTTCTTTTTTCTTCTAATAATTTATTTTTATATTTTTTATTATGGAATTAGGTGTAAAAAATATTTTAAAAAAAATTCGTTATTTTTTGGTATTTTTAAATACAATTTGATGACGATAGAATATATATGATATTTTTTAAGATTTTAGTTTGAACATATATATCTAATTATATTACTCTTATTATTTAAATTCTATTTCTTCAATTATTTATTTCTTATTAAATTCTCATCACATTAGTTTTTAAATTTTTTAATATAACTTTATTTGTTAATAAATTTGATTTTTCATATATGAATTTTGGAATAAAATTTTAGAACGTGAGTGTTTTATTTTTTTATAATATAGTATTATAATTTAATTATACGATTGATTATTTTTATGATTTTTAGATAAGAGTAGCATATATATAAATATATGTGTGTGTGGAGAGAGAGAGAGAGAGGTGCGTTTTAGATAATTTGACTCAATTTTTGAAAAAAAAATTAATAATGAGTTAAAAAAAGAATTCACATGTTTTATATATATATATAATCAAAATTTAGTGGAACCAATTTTTTAGTAGTTTTTATTTTAACCTCTACACTTTGATATATTCCATACAATTTAGGTGGTCTATTTTTGTATTTTTTTTTATTTATTCTATACACTATGAATCTACCGAGTGTGTGTGTGTATGAATCATTAGTTTTGTTAGAAATTAATCATATATCCGTGCACATAACACCAATTATTTGTTATTTATTTTTTCATATTCTAAAATATGTATTTTAAAATAAAATAATTTAAATAATGTTTTGAAAGAATCTTTAAATTATTCAAATACAAATTTTATGCTAATATTATTAATTATTTTGTTAATAAATATATATAAATCAAATAATTTCGCTCAATATTTAGATTCGATTTTCATTAATCACTAAAAATAAGACTTCTACTCACACCACATCATACGAATCATTAACCCTATATATGTAACGGTTGTCCGACTAGTAGCATAGCGTGGGTATCTAACTAATATAGGCTATATGGAATGGAAGAGATGAGTTATCTAACTATAGGGAAATAATTCATGGCCACTCGGCTTTTGCAAGCACTAGTTAGCTAGGTGTGATGTAGCTTATATTTAACTTCAATTTGAAAAAAAAAAAATGCACCCAATTCATGTTCCTTTTTATGGAAAATTGTAAAACATGCCGACAAAGGCTCGCAAAAGGACGAAGTCGGCACCTAGCTATCGAGAGAGAACTAGAAAACACTAAAAACAAACTAGTTTACATAAATATCTAGATAAGAGGTTGGTTACGTATGAAGAAAATTAACATCACCATCATCTCATCCTACCTAAGATAGATCGTATTGTATGCATTAAAAATTAAAACTTAGTCTTACTATATTATGAAACTATGCTCGCTTGAGTGAATTGATGTTGTTGGGATAAAATGGTTTAATAGTTTGAGATTTAGGCTACTTAAAGGTTTGTATCCATATTCTAAAGGTAGAAGGAAATAGGGATCCAAGTTTTGGCTTATCACTAGTAACTATAAATCTATATCAACAATTAACAAGTCTCTAGGAATTGAGAGCCCATATTGACATATTTGGAAAGCTAAAAACAATTTTGTCCATAAATATAGAAATTTATGAACATTTTGATTCACACAATTAAAGAGATTGATTTTATCCAAACAAGTGGGAAGCCATCAATAACTTTAATTCACACAAAATATAATTTTTTTAATAAAATGAAAATGAGGAGTCTCTTACGACTATATTTCATATCAAAAATCATTTAAATAAGATAAAAATGATGAGTCCCTTACGACTACAGACCCATCTAAAAAGTGATTCACATAAAATAAAAATAACGAGTCTCTTACGACTACAGTCCATATCCAAAATCATTCAAATAAAACAAAAATGACAAGCTCCTTTATGATTGTAACCTATATCGAAATTATTCAAATAAAATAAAGATAATGAGTACCTTGCGATTACAATCCATATCGAAATCATTTAAATAAAATAAAAATAGCAAGTCTCGAACAATTGTAACTCATATTAGAAATCATTCAAATAAAATAAAAATAGCAAGTCCATTATGACTATAGCCCATATCAAAAATCTTCAAATAAAATAAAAATAATGAGTGTCTTGCAACTGCAATTCATATAGGAAATCATCCACATAAAATAAAAATATTAAGTCATTTGCCACTACGACCAATATCAAAAATCATTTACATAAAATAAAAATATCAAGTTCTTAATGGTCGCAACCCATATTAAAAATCATTTAAATAAAATAAAAATGATAAGTTCCTTATGATTGTAACCTATATAAGAAATCATTCACATAAAATAAAAATAATGAGTCCCTTCGACTCCAGTCCATATCGAAATGATTGACATAAATACAATTGATGAGTCTCTTGTGATTACATCCCATACCAAAAATTATTCATATAAAATAAAAATAGCAAGTCCCTTATGACTCCAGCTCATATCAAAAATAATTTACATAAAATAAAAATAGCGAGTCCTTTGGGAGTATGGTCTATATTAGAATCATTCAAATAAAATAAAAACAACGAGTCCCTTACGAAATGCAACCCATATAAAAAATCATTCGCATCAAATAAAAATGGTGATTCCTTTACGACTGCAGACTCATATCGAAATCATTCAAATAAAATAAAAATAACAAGCCCTTTATTATGATAGTCTATAACGAAATCATTCAAATAAAATAAAAAAGGTGAGTCTCATACGACCATAGCTCTTATAAAAAATCATTCAAATAAAATAAAAATGGCGAGTCCTTTACGATCGTAGCCCATATCAAATATCATTTACATAAAATAAAAATAATGAGCCCCTTATAACCGCAACCTATGTCATAAATTATTCATAAAAAAATAAAAAAGGTGAATCTTTTACGATACATGACTCATATAAAAAATCATTAAAATAAAATATTCATATGACTACAACCCATATAAGAAATCATTTAAATAAAATAAAAATGATGAGTCCCTTATGACTACACCTCATATCGAAATTATTCAAATAAAATAAAAATAGTGAGTCTCTTATGATCGTAATCCATATCGAAACCATTCAAATAAAATAAAAATATCGAGCCCATACAACTACAATTCATATTAGAACTTATTCACATAAAATAAAAAATAACGAGTTCTTTGCAAGTATAGTCTATATCCAAAATCATTCGTATAAAATAAAAATTATGAGTCCCTCGTGATTGCGATCTATAACGAAGTCATTCAAATAAAATACAAAATGGCGAGCCCCTTATGACTACGAACTGTCTAAGAAATCGATCAAATAAAACAAAAATGACAAATGCATTATGACTTTAGCCCATATCAAAAATCATTCATATAAAATAAAAATAGCAAGTCATATAAAAAATCACTCAAATAAAAAAAAAAACGAGTTTCTTAAAACTATAGCCCATATCAAAAATCTTTAAATTAAAAAAAATAAAAAGTCCCTTGCGATTAGAGTCTATATTAGAACTCATTCAAATAAAATAAAAAATGTCAATTCCCTTGTGACTTCAATCCATATCAAAAATCATTCACATAAAATAAAAATAGCGAATCCTCGTGACTATAACCTATATCAAAAATCATTCACATAAAATAAAAATAGCGAATCCCTTGTGACTATAACCTATATCAAAAATCATTCAAATAAAATAAAAAATGAGTCTCTTGTGAAGGATCATGCATCCTATAGAGGTGCGAAATAAATAAAAAAATTTCTCCATCTAAGGCCCTAAGATTATGCCGTTGAATCTACTAATCATACATACATGAATAACAAGCTAAAAGTAAAGGATTACCTCTTGTAGCACATATCTAAATTCCTTCTCTTTGATTAGTCATCCAAGTGTATAGCCTCTATTGATTATCCACGTAGCCCAAGTATCCACTAGAAGCACTCAAAATTAATAGGGTGCTAGCTCCACCTTTTCCGGTTAAGTATTTCCTCCAAAAATCAATCCCGAGCAACTTTGCGACAACCATAAAGGGGGCGGAAAGAGTATTTCTTGCTAGGGTTTATGAGAAAACT